TCTTTTGTTATAAATTTTAAGAAGTATTTATTTATGAAGTAGGTTTTCAGAAAAAAATAAAAAAAGTTTTGTTTGCAAAAATCATTAAGAATGGACTGGGTAAATTTCCCAGAGATTTTAAGCCACAAACTTTAGCAACAATATATTTTAAACACTTATAAGGTTTTTGTTTGTTAGCACTTTCTAAATGAAAACAGGGGAGGTGAAGCACTATTCTTTTTTTCTTTCTTTTTTTTTTTTGGCCAGTCGTGGACCTGAACTCGGCCTAGGCGCTGTCCTTCAGCTCTTCAGCTCAAGGCAAGTGCTCTACCACTTGAGCCACAGCGTCACTTCTGGCTTTTTCTGTTTATGTGGTGCTGAGGAATCGAACCCAGGGCCTCATGCATGCAAGGCAAGCACTCTACCACTGAGCCACCTTCCCAGCCTGAAGCACTATTCTTATGGGGCCATTTTAACATGAAGCAGTACCAGTACATTAGTCACATCTACATTTCTAACGTAGAATATAAATATAAAGTGTGTGTGCCTGTACTAGGGCCTGAACTCAGGGCCTCATGTTCTGACCAGGCATGAGCCACCAGCATCCACCTGAAGATAACTTTAATGGCCATCTTCTAAAACATCTTCGTTGCCTAGGTTTTCTGTTAACTTTCTATGATGGAAAAAGTTGGTTTCATTCAAGATGCTGTTATTTCACTGCTTTCGTGGTGTCACGACCATTTTTTTCTGGTGTAAGAGAAGCTATCATTTCATTCTCAGTCATAATTTGTATAGCATTTTTGATGGCTTGAGAGATATACTGCTTCATACATTAAACAGCTTACTGGGAGTCCTGAGGCATTAGGTTTGTGGCAAAAAAAATCAGGTGCAATCTTACCACATTGAAATGAGATAATCATGAATGATGCATTCATTTGAGATGAAAGAGTTTATACACTGTACAAAACAAGTAACATACCTTACTGGCATGACCCTTCCACCTGCAGACTCTATATACTTCACATAGGATGCAGCAAGGTAGTATTTCCCAAGGTTTTGCATTTCTTTACTTTGGCATTTTTGCATCACAATTCCTACATTGAAAAAAAAAAGTCTTAGTTTCATGCAAACTCCCTTACTTCTTTCTCAGAAACTGAAATATATCACCATGACAGTATCCCTATTTTATTCTCTTAATTTACTGAATGAAATAGGAAGTACCTTTGACAAGTCCATCTGTAGAATTTGGGAAAGAAATGGAGGGTGAGCTCAGTCTCTGCCAACTTCCACTTCACACCACTTCAGGGAGACTATGCTCCCAGAGTAGATTAGAATGACACTAGTGTCCTTTATGCAAACCTAGATCTGAGAGGCTTTAATTCTACTGTATAAAGAGAGAGAAGCCAGGCGCTGGTGGCTCACGCCTGTAATCCTAGTTACTCAGGAGGCTGAGAGCTGAGGATCATGGTTCAAAGCCAGCCCAGGCAGGAAAGTCTGTGAGACTCTTATCTCCAGTAAACCACTAGAAAGCTGAAGTGTTGCTGTGGCTCAAGTGATAGAGCACTTGCCTTGAGCTGAAGAGCGCAGGGACAGCACCCAAGCCCAGAGTTCAAGCCCCATGACTGACCCAAAAAAAAGTAAGGAGAGAGAAGAGGAAGGATAATTAATTAGATGAAAAAGAAAAATGCACAGACACTATATATAGATAGATATAGATATAAATACAAATATATGTATAGATGCAGTGTGATGTCTGATAGTGCTAAGGACAAAAAAACTAAAACAAAGAGGCGTCCTAATTTTTGTTTTTTATCATCCAGTGTGTTTACCTGTAGACAGGGACATGATATATTATACAGGTCTCTAGACATTCAGACAGAAAGACCAAAGGAGGATATTCTTAGGAGAGAATCACAAAGCCTTAATAGGTACATATGATCATATAAAATAATATTTACCCAAATGAACTCTTAGGAAACAGAAACAAAAGGGTTTTTTAATTTGTTGTCGTTGTTTTGTTTTTCTAATCTTTTGTTTGTAAGTTTATCTTTTGGGGGAGGATAATAGTGGGAAACAGAAAGGATGTGACAAAGGGTAAACAAATACAGCAGTGATACTAGGCACTATGTGGAAACTGAACTATACAACTATACAGCAAGTACAACAGTTGTGAGTCAGCCTGGCACACTGAAAGAGTCCATCTGAATACATTCACTGAGGGGAGAGAGAGCACCAGGAAATAAGATGGAGATATATATCAGCCAGTCACCACCTTGTTTAAGCACCTCAGGGGTTCTTAAACTTTAATAAGCTGTAAGATATAAGATATAAAATATAGGGGCTGGGAAGGTGGCTCAGTGGTAGAGCACGTGCCTTGCATGCCTGAGACCCTGGGTTCGATTCCCAGCACCACATAAGCAAAAAGAAAAAAGCCGGAAGTGGCGCTGTGGCTCAAGTGGTAGAGCACTAGCCTTGAGCTGAAGAGCAGAGGGACAGTGCCCAGGCCCAGAGCTCAGGCCCCACAACCGGACCCAAAAAAAAAAAAAGATATAAAATATAAGGATTATGGTTCACAGCCAGACCAACCAGGAAAATCTGTGAGACTCATCTCCATTAACCATCAAAAGGCCTACAGTGGGGCTGTGGCTCAGGTGGTAGAGCATCAGCCTTAAATGAAAAATCTCAGGGACAGCACCCAGGCCCTGAGTTCAAGGCCCAGTACTGGCAAGAAAAAAGGAAGGAATCGAACAAGCATCTCTCCTCTCCTGTCCGCTCCTCCCATACTCACTTTTCCCATTTCTAACTCTATTCCCTGACATTACACATGTGACTCAAACCCCATTCCCATTTTTGATGGCTGCCATAACCTTGGTGGCTTGTTTTAGAGTTCTTTGCACTTTTAGTTATGCCTTGCACATACTTGGTGCTCAGTCAACAATTTTGTCTTAATCCGCCAGGGTGACCAGAGGTATACTTCTTTTCTGTGTCTTCCATTTAGCACTACTCTGGATAGTACGAAAGGGAAATGAATCTCCTGTCTTTTTTCCTCCTCCTCCCTGAATTCAACAAGATGCAACTCACTACATAAAGTTACAAAGTGTTCTTTGAAGACTAACCATCATTGTAAATAGCTGTGGAAACAGGCTTTGCACACTCCAAATATAATTAATGGTTTCACATACAATTAATTATTAATACAATTAGTATACAATTAAAGAAAATATATGAAATGAATGTCTAGTTTGGTTGCAGAATACAGTGCTCAGCTTCTTGGGAAAAATAGCAGAAATGGCAAAAATCCTACACAAGGTGGGATAAAACCTGTTACTTGTCTGCCCAAAAATTTCTTTTGGCAAATTTTAATTTCAGGCTGGTATCTCCTAGATAGTTTTAGCTGACACTGTCTCATTGTGAATGAAAGTTGATTTTCCTCTCTGGAAAACATACAGGGGCAAGGAAATAAACAAAAAAAAATGTGTACTTCACTTGAAGATTACATAGAATCCAGGTGTGGCTCACACCTGTAATCCTAACTACTTAGAAGGCTAAGATCTGAGGAATGCACTTCAAAGTTAGCCAGGTCAAGGAAAACCCATAAGACTATTATGTCCAATTAACCACCAGAAAGCCATAAGTAGAGATATGGCTTAAGTGGTAGAGAACCAGCCTTGAGTAAAAAAAAAAAGCTAAAAGACAACGCCCAGGCCCTAAATTCAAACCCCAGTTCTGGAACTAAATAAATAAATAAATATAAATACATTAGGTTCCCATCGGCACCGCCTATCCCACGATGCTAAAGATGACAAAGTCCAAGGTAATCTATTATATTTTTCTGCATACCGCACTCTATGGTGAAATACACCCTCAATTAGGAAGTTTTTCCTAAGTATAATGTACACACTGAATTTCTAGATGCAAACTAGCAGGAATTGCTAGCTATGTTTAAAAAAAAATATTTGCTTGTCTTTGATTGGAAAACGTCTATGTTAAAAAAAAAAAGGAAGGGAAGGCAGGCGGGCAGAAAGAAAGAAAAGAAAGGAAGGAAGGAAAAAGAAAGAAAGAAAAGGGAGGGAGGAAGGAAAGAGAGAGAGAAAGAGAAAGAAAAAGGGAAAGGAAGGAAGAAGGAAGGAAAAGAAAAAAGGGAAAGAGAAAGAAAGGAAAGAGAAAGAGAAAGAAAAGAAGAAAAGGAAGGAAGGAAGGAAAAGAAAAAAGGGAAAGAGAAAGAAAGGAAAGAGAAAGAGAAAGAAAAGAAGAAAAGGAAGGAAGGAAGGAAAAGAAAAAAGGGAAAGAGAAAGAAAGGAAAGAGAAAGAGAAAGAAAAGAAGAAAAGGAAGGAAGGAAGGAAAAGAAAAAAGGGAAAGAAAGAAAGGAAGAAAGAGAAAGGCGGACAGGAAGGAGAGACAAAGATAGGAAAGAAAGAGAAAAGAAAGGGCTGGGAAGGTGGCTCAGTGTAGAGTGCTTGCCAAGCATGCATGAGGCCCTGGGTTCGATTCCTCAGCACCACATACACAGGAAAAGCCGGAGGTGGTGCTGTGGCTCAGGTGGTAGAGTGCTAGCCTTGAGCACAAGAAGCTCAGGGTCAGCGCCCAGGCCCTGAGTTCAAGCCCCAGGACTGGCAAAAAAGGAAAAAGGAAGAAGAGAAGGATGTCTGCGGGGTTCTTCGCCGCTTTTTTTTTAGTTTTTGAGTCCAAAAACTAAAACCCCTCCGCCGGCAGCTGGTTTGTCAGTGCCACCCCGGGCGTCAGTGCCATGCCGACAGCGGACGCGCACCTGCCCCGGCCTCGGGGGTTTCCCGGGCAGGACGAGTCGGCTGCAGCCAGCTGCGCACCTGCGCGGACCGCGGACCCCAGCCCCCCCACCCCCCGCGGAGCCCCCCTCGCCGCATCCTCACCAATGATGGGCTTCTTGGCCGCGCGCTTGTGGTGTTTGGGCAGCCCGAGGCTCAGCGCCCAGCAGAACACCACCACCACGCACAGCAGTCGGCCCAGGCTCGCCATCGCACCAGCTGCCTCCCGCCGCGTTTCAAAGGCACTGTGGCTGGGCGGGCGGGGGCCGCGGGCACGGACACCGGAAGCCTCGGAGCCTCTTGCTCGCGGGAGCGCGCTCGCAGCCGCGCGGGGCTATGGGAAATGTAGTCCCGGTGCGCGGGGGCGGCGGCCGCGGGGCGGGGACGCGCGGCTCCGGGAGCGCTCGCGGCGCGCCCGTCCCATGGCTGAGCCGGGCCCGGAGCGCGCCCCCTGGCGGGACTGCCGAGCCTCTCCCTGCACGACCTCTGCGCGGAGTCGGGGGACGCTGGGGCGGGCACCCGGTGGTCTCGGCGCCCCGGGAGTCTGCCCTTTCGACTATTCGGTCGACGTGGCCCCCAGTCAGCGGTACCCAGCCGAGGCCTCCAGCCTGGGCCTCGAGGGGCTGCTGTGGTGGGTCCCCGCCCGGGCCAGTGTGGTAACCAAGCAGCCGTGGAGGCCGGGGAGATTCTAGAAGGCCCCGGAGAACTTTGCGGCGTGAAAGGTCTGGATCCTGTGTCTTGGAATGCGACCCGAGGTCGTCCCCGGCGTTCGGTGTCGGGGCAGGGAGGGCGGGCGGGGGGGGGGCTCCACCGGGGGAGGGAGGGCGGGGGGGGGGCGGCGCCTCCACCGGGGCAGGGAGGGCGGAGGGGAGGGGGCCCTCCCTCTCCCCTGAGCTGAAACTAACGTGCTGATGTCTGAATGGAAACACTGAAGAGTTCCTCCACCCGCTCTAATAACACTGCCTGCCTTGCTTGATCACGTGCATTATAAAGTGTAACCGACCAGCTTGTTCCCAAAAAAGACTTCCTCGATTTGGGGAGACTTACGGGAAGAGGACCCCCGCGGGACGTGTGGGGAGATTTTCTGTGTGTCTGACCATGGCATGGGCACCTGCGCGCCGCCAGACTCAACCACCAGGTTCTTGGGAGTTTTGCCTTTAAAATAAAACCCCCGCTTGAGAAAGGCTCCGGGTGGCAATGTCAGCTCCCTGAGTCTGTGCTGCGTCCCTGGCCGGTCAGCTTTTCACCTCCCCAAATAAATCCATCTTTTCATATGAGACTGTCTCTGTGTGGTGGACTCTCTTCCCCATAAGAGAAGGAGCTAGATGACCTGTGACCGAGTTCCCATGGTGGAGGCCCAACCTCTGGCCAAGTGGCCGAGACCCAAGGGTGGACTCGAACCCAAGGTCGCCTTGCCTTGTTACTGGGTCAGAAGGGCCACTCCTGGCACCTGTTCCAAGGAGGCAGGTCCAGTCCACACCCCACACCCACAGAACCTCACTTGTAAACCAGAACTTTGGTTCCCATTCATTGAGGTTTTGTGAAGATTCTTATATGTATATGGGGGGTGGGGGGGTGTAGAGCTATGAGAGATTTGGAGAAAGTGAGATGGAGATAGAGCTAGATATATATGTGTCCGTTTAACTATATTCATGTATGTATATATGTATGTATGTGTATATATATACCTTGTGCCCCATGGAAATAAATGGTCACCTACAAAGGCCAAGATTAGATTGTATTTGCAAACCGACTCAAGGCCAGCTTTTGAGGATGAAAATCTGAATTGTATAATATCCTTTACACAAAAATTTAGTCTGGAAAAAAAAAGACAGAATATGACTTGGTGGTAAGAACAGGAGCTATGTCTTGGAAGACTTCACAGAGAATGAATACAGTAAATAGTTTGCTTTAACAAGAAAATCTTGCTACTACATGGAAGGGTGTGGTGAGCAGTAATCTCCAAAGATGTGGTGAAATGTACTGTGAAAATGCCAAGCTAGCATATTGTATAGGCAAGGATCATTTGTAAATATGAGTTTGTAGTGTTGGATTAACCACAAAGGCGAAAACCATTATTACAGGGCATTATACTAGGTGGTGTATGTTCATAACTGATAGTCATAAGAGTTCATGAAGCATAAAAAACGCAAATGTTAATGGGAAAAAAATTGATAGACTTGTCGATATTAAATGTGAACATGTCTATATGATAAGCTAATTGAAAGAAAGGTACACATTTAGAAAATATAAAGTATAGAGTTTTAAAATATTCATTTGTAGAATATACACAGAAATAAAAAAAACTATACAAATAATGCAGGCAATGGTAGCTCAAGACTCCTATTAATCCTAGCTACTCAAGGGGTGGAGATCTAAGGGCCACAATTGGAAGCCTGCCTGGGCAAGAAAGTTTGTGAGACTCTTATCTCTAATTACTCACCAAAGAAACAAAAGTGGAGATGTGTATCAAGTGGTAGAATGCTAGTCTTGAGACCTCAGGACCTGCGCACACGTGCACACACACACACACACACACACACACACTAAAATCAATACAATAATAAAACAGGGAAAGTAAACCATACTTTACTAATGATCAGAGGAAATGCAAACTAAAATACATTGTCATATCCATTAACTAAGCCTTTGATAATAACAAATCAAGGATGCATTGATGATAAGTGTGTATATATGTGTGCCTGTCCTGGCTGGACCTTAAACTCAATGCCTGTACTCCCCCTGAGCTTTTTCACTCAAGGCTGTTCTCTGCCACTTGAGGCACACCTCCACTTCTGGCTGTGACTGTTTCATTGGAGATCAGAGTTTCCCATTTCCATACTCATACTCCCTACTGTGATGGCATTTGCCTTGAAGCCCTTTCCAGAGCTGTATAGATGTGAGTGCCTTGCTCTTAAATCTCCAGAACTAAATCCACAGAGGTAAACAAGCATCTTTTTGTTATAAAATACCTAGCCTCAAATGTTTTGTTTATAGAATCATAAAACCAACTGAAACAGTGCTCTGGGAAAACCAGATGCATGTATGAACAAATAAATGTACATGTATGTTCTTTATAGCTTTTATGTATAATGAAATATTTAGTGTAAGTGGCCATCAATGGAAGATTTAATTAATTACATAATTAATAGACTATCAGAGAAGATGAAAATAAATGAATTAGGACTACTTATTAATATAAATAATTCTCCTAAAATGAGGTAGCAGAGAGATAAATTATGTAGAGTAACATTTCAAACACCTGAACCAGAATTTTCCTATTTACCTTTGCCAGAAAACCATGAAATGTACAAGGAATGCAAGCAAACCTACACGAGATCTGTACATTCAGCAATTCTAGGAGATTAAGCAACCACAAGCATAAAATCAGCAGAAAATAAATATAAATGCCATGTCCAGTAAAGCATCACCTCCTGTTGAAGACTCAAGATATGGGAAGTAAGAACTCAAAGAGTCTTTGTAGAAAGAGGTTTGAATGATACAGAAAACAAAAACAATTTGAAGCCTGAATGAAAATAGCAGACATTTAATTGCCAGAACACTGGGAAAACATTACTGCTAATTATATCATTGGCAACAATGAAAGAATGTATGATTGAGGGAGACATCAGTTCAAAGTTTCAGATAAGAAGTCCCATGACATAGCAAAGTAAAAAGGGAGAAATCAAGACTCCATAAAAAAGAATTATAACAGCCAACCTCTACCTGCCACCACTAAATTATCTATTAAAGAACTATACTGCCATAAGAAAACAATAGGCTTATAAAAATAAATTTCCTAAAAAAAAATGCAAACAGCCATATGCTGGTGGCTCACACCTGTATTTCTAGCTACCCAGGAAACAGATCTGAGGATCACAATTCAAGGCCAGCTCACACAGGAAAAGTCCACAAGACTCTTCAGTTAACCACAAAAAACAAAGTAGAGCTGTGGCCCAAGTGGTAGAGCACTAGCCTTGAGCAAAAGTACTAAGAGATAGATCCCAGCCCCAGAGTTCAAGCCTTATTACCAGCACAAAAATAAAATAAAATAAATAGGCAGGACTGGGAACGTGGCTTAGTGGTAAAAATGCTTGCCTAGCATGCATGAAGCCCTGGGTTCAATTCCTCAGTACCACGTAAACAGAAAAAGCCAGAAGTGGTGCTGTGGCCCGAGTGGTAGAGTGCTACCCTTGAGCAAAAGAAACTCAGGAACAGTGCCCAGGCCCTGAGTTCAGGACTGACAAAAAATAAATAGGAAAAAAAAAACTAGAAGACAAATTGTGACCTTTCATTTAGTTAAAATTCTTCATATGCTATATATACAATGGAATTCAGTGCCTCCATCAGAAAGAATGAATCGCCCCATTTGTTAGGAAATGGAAAGACTTGGAAAAAATATTAAGTGAAGTAAGCCAGGCCCAAAGAAACAGGTCTCATGGTTTCCCTTATTTGCAATAATTAGTATATGTCTGGGACAACTAGAAAAGGTCAAAAGCTATGTATATATGACCAGATAAGATGAAGTTAAGTGAAATGAACCCCAAGACAGGGACACAAGTGGTTTATTTTCTTTCTTGCTTTTGTTTCTAACATATTTATAACATACCATGTAATTTTTTTCGGTTGCTTTGTCCTCCCCCAGGGTATAACCCCTGTTTTCACTGTATTTGATATTGCTATAATTTGGGGAGTGGAAGGGAAAAAACAAAATGTTTAAATAGGGATACTGGTTGACCCATTGTAACAATGAGACGTACAAGTCACTATGTTGAAAACGAACTTTACGGGGCTGGGAAGTTGGCTCAGTGGTAGAGTGCTTGCCTTGCATGCATGAGGCCCTGGGTTTGATTCCTCAGCACCACATAAGCAAACAAAAAAGCCGGAAGTGGTGCTGTGGCTCAAGTGGTAGAGTGCTAGCCTTGAGCTGAAGAGCTGAGGGACAGCGCCCAGGCCCAGAGTTCAGGCCCCATGACTGGACCCCCCAAAAAAAAGAAAAAAAAGAAAATGGGCATTGATGAAGATACTAGAAAAAAATAAAGATAGGGGCTGGGAAGGTGGCTCAGTGGTAGAGCGCTTGCCTTGCATGCCTGAGGCATTGGACCCCCCCCCAAAAAAAAAGATGAAAACGAACTTTACAGTTTAGGTGGGAGAGGGAGTGAAGGGAGGGGGGAGTGTAGTGTGGAGTTGAGAGGGAAGAGACGTTAGGGGAAAAACAAAGGAGGAGGCAACAATGCTTGCTAAGAAATGTACTCATTACCTTGCTCATGTAACTGTAACCTGCTGTACAGTATTTTTACAATAAAAGAATTATTAAAAATAAAATAAAATTCTTCATACAAAAAAAAAATCCAGGAACTGGTTGCTCATGCCTGTAATTTTAGCTATTCAGGAAGCTGAGATCTGAGAATTGACGTTCAAAGCCAGCCTGGATTATTTTCCAATTAACCACCAAAAAGCTGGAAGTGGTAGTCGGGTGCCAGTGGCTCATGCCTGTAATCCTAGCTACTCAGGAGGCTGAGATCTGAGGATCACAGTTCAAAGCCAGCCTGGGCAGGAAAAGTCTGTGAGACTCTTTATCTCCAATAAACCACTCTGAAAACCAGAAGTGGTGCTGTGGCTCAAGTAGTAGAGCTGAGGGACAGCGCCCAGGCCCAGAGTTCAAGCCCCATGACCTACCAAAAAAAAAATTGAAGTGGAGCTATGGCTCAAGTGGTAAAATGCCAGCCTTAAGCAAAAACAGCTCATGGACAACACCCAGGCCCTGAGTTCAAACCTCATTAGCAACACACACACACGCATACACACCCAGGCAAAAACAAAGGTTACAGTCCAAATTAAATATTCTCAAACAAGATGAATCAAGTCTAGAACTAGAAATTCAAAACCTAAAAATAGGAATGGACAAAAACAGGAAGGAATAAGACAGTAGTTGATCAAATCAGATTAAAAAAAATCAAGGAAATGACAAAATACCTTCATAAATGAAGAATTCTCACAGCCCAAGACAGAAATATTCAAATCAAAACTTGGTAAAAATCAATGGAAAAAAAAAGAAGGAATCAACCCAAAGAATAACTAACAACAACAAAAAAAAAAAACAAACGCAGATCACAAAGATAATGCTGGCAAAATATAGTAGGCAAAGATCATAGGACTCAAAACATCTTAGGCATTCTAAAAGGGGATGAATAGGGACACAGAAGTGCCAACTTCTACAAAGTTCTACCGGTCTAATACAGTAGCAGGGGTGTAG